AACCCCCTTTTTTTTTTGTGGGGGCCAAACGTTGGGAAACGCGGACACAAATCACGGCTCTTCCGTGGACAAACCCAGATGTGTCCCTGTGTCCATCACCAGGGAATCCCAGACTGGTTTGGGTGGGAAGGAACCTCAAATCCCACCCAATCCCACTCCCTGCCATGGGCAGGGACACCTTCCACTATCCCAGGTTGCTCCAAGCCCCGTCCAACCTGGCCTTGGACACTTCCAGGGATCCAGGGGCAGCCACAGCTTCTCTGGGCAACCTGTTCCTTCCCTGTTCCCACGTCCCCTCCAGCTGACACATTCCCTGGTTCTATATTGAAGGAATGTGGTGTTTATCATAAAACCCCTCCCAGAGCATCCCTGGATCCCCTCCCTGCACGGCTCAGGGCTCTCCATCTCTTCCCCCCCCCAGAACACGCTTTCCTCAGGAAGTGGCTCCTGCTCTCCGATCCAGAGGATCTTTCCGCGGGGGCCAAGGGCTACCTGAAGGTCAGCGTCCTCGTGCTGGGGCCTGGGGACGAAGCTCCTGTGAGTATCCCCCTGGATCCCGTGGGACCTTCCACCCTTCCACCTCCCTGGGCCGCCAAACATCCCTTCCCAGGGAAGCCACACCTTGGGTCTTCCTCTGTTTCGGGGGCAAAGAGCTGCTTTTTGTCGTGGAATCCCAGCCGTGGAATCCCAGCCGTGGAATCCCAGCCGTGGAATCCCAGCCGTGGAATCCCAGCCATGGAATCCCAGCCTGGTTCGGGCTGGGAGGGACCTTCAATCCCATCCCACCTCCCACTAGGTCCAGGTTGCTCCGAGCCCCGTCCGGCCTGGCCTTGGACGCTTCCCGGGGTGGGGAATCCACACTTCTCTCTCCTTTGGGGTTTCCCTGCTCGTCCCGGGCCTGTCGGGAAGCCTGGTTGAGTTTTCCCTGTCGCTCTGTCCCCCCCTGCAGCTGGAGAAGAAGGAGGTGTCCGAGGACAAGGAGGACATCGAGGCCAACCTGCTGCGCCCCACCGGGGTCACCCTGCGGGGGGCCCAGTTCTGCCTCAAGATCTTCAAAGCCGAGGATTTGCCCCAGAGTAGGTTCCCCTTGGCTTTTCGGAGCGCCCCGGATCCCTCGGCGTCGCGGCGTTCCGGGCAGGAATTCGGGCTCAGGGGAGGGAATTATCCACAGCCTCGGTCCAAAGACCTTCTACATACCAACCAGTCGTGATGTGCTGGGAGATGGGTCTGCCACTGGTGCAAACTGGTTTTGTCCACCTGGGGAGCTTCTCCCCGATGGAAAAGCCGGTGGGGCAGCCGGGACCAGGCGGACGCCGCTCCCGGAATTCCTTGAGCTTCAGGGTCTCCCCCTCCTGCTCCCAGTGGACGACGCCGTCGTGGACAACGTCCGGCAGATCTTCGGCTTCGAGAGCAACAAGAAGAACCTGGTGGATCCCTTCGTGGAAGTCACCTTTGCCGGCAGGACGGTCAGCGGGGCCCGGGCAGGGCTGGGGGGGAAGGGGGGGCTCCCTCGGGATCCTGGGAATGGGATGGCAGGGGGACAGTCCCTGGGAATGGGATGGCAGTGGGATAGTCCCTCCTGGGTCCCTGGGGCTGGGATGGCAAGTGGGACAGTCCTTCCCAATCCCTGGGGCTGGGATGGCAGTGGGGTGTTCCCTTGGGATCCTCAGGGGTGGGATGGCAGGGGGTGTTCCCTTGGGATCCCTGGGAATGGGATGGCAGTGGGACAGTCCCTCCCAGTTCCCTGGGGCTGGGACACCAGTGGAGTGTTCCCTCAGGGTCTCTGGGGCTGGGATGGCAGTGGGACACTCATTCCTGGGTTCCCAGAGCTGGGATGGCAGTGGGACAGTCCTTCCCAGTTCCCTGGGGCTGGGATGGCAGGGGGGTGTTCCCTTGGGATCCCTGGGTCTGGGATGGCAGTGGGGTGTTCCCTTGGGATCCCTGGGACTGGGATGACAGTGGAACAGCCCCGTTCCCAGCCCCGTTCCCAGCCCCGTTCCCAGCCCCGTTCCCAGCCCTATTCCCAGCCCTATCCCTGTGTGTGTGTGACATGCTGGGATCCGTGTGGTGCCACCAGAGCAGTTTCTCCTCTGGACTTTTCCTGGTGCTGATGCCTCACAGACGGGTCTGGAGAGGCTGAACCCACGAGCTGCCACCTGCCCTTTGAGCCACAGCAGCACTGAGGGGCTGGAAGTCTCCTCTTCCCATGGATCTTCCCATGGGAACACCATCTGGGGGGGGGAACACAGGCTTGGGACATCCTTCTGGTGGTCCTGAGGTGGGGAGATCCCCGAGCATCCCCCAGCATCCTCTGCCTCCTGCACTGAGGGGGCTGCAGAGCCCCACGGGGTCACCCATGGGATGGGGGTGGGATTTTGGGGATCCTGAGGCTTCCCAGCTCCTGGGGTGGTGGGAGCAGCACTGACTGTTCCCTCCTCCATCCCACCCCTCCAGCTCTACTCCAGGATCCTGGAGAAAAACGCCAACCCCCAGTGGAACCAGTGCCTGACCCTGCCGGCCATGGTGAGCACTGGTGTCCCCAGGATCCCCCATCCCTGATCCCACCATCCCTCACCATTCCCTGGTGAGCACTGGTGTCCCCAGGACCCCCCTCCCCCCCGATCCCACCATCCCTCCCCATTCCCTGGTGTCCCCAGGACCTCCCTCCCCCCCGATCCCACCATCCCTCCCCATTCCCTGGTGAGCACTGGTGTCCCCATGAGCAACCCACCCCCCTGATCCCACCATCTCTCACCATTCCCTGGTGTCCCCAGGACCCCCCACCCCCCGATCCCACAATCCCACCATCTCTCACCTTTCCCTGGTGTCCCCAGGACCCCCCACCCCCCGATCCCACCATCCCTCCCCATTCCCTGTCTCTTTTCCCAGTTCCCTTCCATGTGTGAGCGGATGCGGATCCGTGTGACCGACTGGTGAGTGGGGTTGGGCTCCCCGTGCCCGGGGCAGTGGGATGGGCACGGAGGGACCCCCCGGTGTGACAGTGTCCCCTGTGCTGCCCCAGGGACCGCCTGACCCACAACGACGTCGTGGGCACCGCCTTCCTGGCCATGTCCAAGATCTCGGCCCCCGGCGGGGAGCTGGAGGGTAAGGGCAGGAAGGGGGCTGGGGTTTGGGATGCATGGCCCTGGAGCAGCTCTGGGATTTGGGATGCATGGCCCTGGAGCAGCTCTGGGCTTTGGGATGCACAGCCCTGGAGCAGCTCTGGGCTTTGGGATGCATGGCCCTGGAGCAGCTCTGGGATTTGGGATGCACGGCCCTGGAGCAGCTCTGGGATTTGGGATGCATGGCCCTGGAGCAGCTCTGGGACGTGGGATGCACGGCCCTGGAGCAGCTCTGGGATTTGGGATGCATGGCCCTGGCGCCAGCTCTGGGATTTGGGATGCACGGCCATGGAGCAGCTTCTGGGATTTGGGATGCACGGCCCTGGAGCAGCTCTGGGAGTTGGGCTGCACGGCCCTGGAGCCCGCTCTGGGGATTTGGCTGCATTGCACTGGAGCAGAACAAGTCTGGGATTTTGGGATGCACGGCCCTGGAGCAGCTCTGGGATTTGGGATGCATGGCCCTGGAGCAGCTCTGGGATTTGGGATGCATGGCCCTGGAGCAGCTCTGGGATTTGGGATGCATGGCCCTGGAGCAGCTCTGGGATTTGGGATGCACGGCCCTGGAGCAGCTCTGGGATTTGGGATGCATGGCCCTGGAGCAGCTCCGGGATTTGGGATGCATGGCCCTGGAGCAGCTCTGCATGGAGGGGCTGGAGGTCGGTGGTGGCTTGGGGGGTGTCACGGCTGTCACTGTCCCTGCCTGGACACGTGGGATGGGGTCCTGGGGGTCTCCCTGTCCCGTGTCCCTGTGCTGGGTGGGAACAGCCCCTCCAACCTGGCAGATCTTGGAGTGCTGGGGGTTTGGATCCTCTTCCTGGCGGTGGCCGCGGTGCCCTGTGGGGTTGGGGACAGTGGGGGTGTCACCAGAGCCGGCAGGTGCCACATCCCCCCCGTGGCCCCACCGGTGGCTCCTCCTGAGGGGGGATTTGGGGCTGTCCCAGGGTGGGATCCCACAGGGTGAGATCCAGCTCTCCCTGACCCAGCTCGGGCTCTCCCCAGTCCCGGGGGGGTTCCAAGGACCCTCAGGTGCTGGCAGGGATGGACAGGGTGACACTGTGACAGGGATGGAGAGGGTGACACTGTGACAGGGATGGGGGGTGACACTGTGACAGGGATGGACAGGGTGACACTGTGACAGGGATGGGGGGGTGACACTGTGACAGGGATGGACAGGGTGACACTGTGACAGGGATGGGGGGGTGACGCTGTGACAGGGATGGACAGGGTGACACTGTGACAGGGTTGGTGGGTGACACTGTGACAGGGTTGGTGGGTGACACTGTGACAGGGATGGGCAGGGTGACACTGTGACAGGGATGGACAGGGTGTCACTGTGACAGGGATGGGGAGGTGACACTGTCACCTGTGCCAGGTGGGAGGGCAGGGAGCTGGGGCACAGTTTTGGGGCTGCTGAGGGCCCGGAGCAGAGCCTGCCCCGTCCTGCATGAGCATGTCCTGCTGCCAAGGCCTGGTGGCACCTGGATCCCCCCGGGAATGTCCTGTCTGGCTTTGGGCATCTCGGGTGTCCTGGGACCCCCCACCCCATAAGGGACACAGGATCCAGGCTGGATGGGCTGGGAGCAACCTGGGCTGCTGGGAGGTGTCCCTGGGAGCGACTGGGTGGGCTTTAAGGTCCCTTCCAACCCGAGCCATTCCACAATTCCGTGGATCAGCCCCCAGGACGTGGCCCAGGTGCTCCAGCCCCGTGTCCCCCAGCCCGTGTCCTGCCCCGGGCCTGCCTGGCTCTGCTTGTGTGCCCAGTGTGCCCAGTCCCCTCCTCCCCAGTTCCAGCACGGCTCCTGGGCTGGGCTGGAGAGAGAGAGAGAGGCCCGGAGGGAGGTGGGATCCCACCCCACCGCTGGGATCTGCCAGGGAATGCTCCTCAGGGATGCTCAGATCCCGGTCCACCCCAATCCTACAACCTCTGGTGACGGGCTTGGACAGGCCTTGGATCAGCCTGGGCTGCTGGAAGGTGTCCCTGGATGGGCTTTAAGGTCCCTTCCAACCCACACCATTCCATGATCCCACGTGCCAACCTCTCCCTTTCCTTCTCTGTCTCTCTCCTGTCTCTCATTGCTAAATCCCAGGAACATCCCCCCTCGTTCCCCGTCCCCCTCCATCCCTTTTCCAGGCTCCTCTTCCAGCCTTTCCTGACCTCTCTGCCTTTCTTTGTGCCCCAGATGAGTTTCCTGCTCCCCCGAAGCCCCCGAAGGCCTCAGACCGTACGTCCCAGTAACGTCCCCGTCCTGTCCCAGTTTGGCGCCGCTTGGGACTGGTTTTACTGGTTCAGTGTCCGGGCTGGGGGAGGATCAGCTGGGTTCAGTCTGGGCACCTTGGGAGAAGGGAATGGCTCCGGCTTGGCCTCCTCCTGCCCTCTGGGAGCAGGGAAAGGGCTCCCCTGCCCTTTGGGGTGTCCCTGCTGGCATGGGGAGCTCAGGGCAGGGCCCTGCCGGGGATTCCTGCCCAAAATTCCATGAAAAGGGGTGATTCTCTTCGTGGAATCACAGAACTGGATAGGTTGGAAAATCCCTGTGATCCAACAAGTCCAGCCATTCCCCCGGCACTGCCAAGGCCACCCCTGGCCATGTCCCCAAGTGCCACATCCTCAGGGTGTTAAATCCCCCCGGGAATGGGGACTCCCCCCGCCCTGGGAAGCTGTGCCAGGGCTGGACAGCCCTTTCCAGGAAGGAATTTTCCCAATGTCCAACCCCAGCTCACCCCTAGTGCCGCTTGAGGCCGTTTCCTTTCAGCCTGTCACCCTTACTCTTGTCCAAGCCCCCTCTCTTACTGTCCCCCCTTCCCTGGGGGCCCTTCCCGGGGCTGGGAATTCCCGTTTTTCCCGGGACACAGCCCTCTGTGTGTGTCCTGCCCTGCCGTGAGTGCTCGCAGGGCTCCAATTTGGGTGCAAACCGCAGCATTTTGGTGCCTCCAGCCCCCCGTGGTCACCATGGCCCGGGGTGGGACACGGCCCCGAGGCGCCCCCGGGAATCCCTCATGGCTCTGACGGCTCCTCTCCCTGTGATTCCCAGTGGATGACGGGCTCGGATTCCTGCCAACCTTCGGCCCCTGCTACATCAACCTCTACGGGAGCCCCCGGGAATTCACGGGATTCCCCGATCCCTACGAGACCCTCAACCTGGGAAAGGTGACATGGGCTTCTCTCCGGCCTCCACTAACCCGGCAGCTCCTCCTGCCCCGGCCCGGCTGCTCTAACCCCCCCTGGCTCTGGCAGTGGGACCCTGCGCTGGCTCCTGCTCTTCCTTGGCTCTTCCCGCTGCCTCCGACCTCCCGGCTCCGCTCCGCTCCCAGAACTTCCCACCGGAGCCCTTTGCTGCTCTTCCTCCTCCGCGCCGGAGCTCCTGGAGAAACCCAAAGGCAGAGCTGATCCGTGGGGAGGGATCCTGACGCTTCTCCCTGCTCTGTCCCAAAGGGAGAGGGCGTTGCCTACCGTGGCAGGGTGCTGGTGGAACTGGAGACCAAGCTGGTGGAGCACCTGGAGCAGAAGGTGGAGGATATTCCCGCGGATGACGTCCTGAGGGTGGAGGTAACGGGCTCTCGGGGGCATTCCGGGGGGTGTCCGGCCCCTTTGGGCACGCGGGACACGATGGAAGGGCTGTGGGAGTTGCTCCAGGGTGGGTCCCGTGGTTGGGGAGCTCCTGGAGGTGCCTCCTGCCGAGTTCCATCCCAAGGTGTCCGTCCAAGGGTTGATCCGTCCGAGGTCCCGTGTGGTGTGAGCTGATCGTGGGGAACAGGGAATCGTGGAATGGTTTGGGTTGGGAGGGGCCTGAAAGCTCATCCAGTTCCATGGGCAGGGACACCTTCCACTAGCCCAGGGGGCTCCAGCCTGGCCTTGGACACTCCCAGGGGCAGCCACATCTTCTCTGGACAACCTGGGCCAGGGCCTCCCCACCCTCCCAGCCAGGAATTCCTTCCCAAAATCCCACCCAAATCTCCCCTTTTCCAGTGGGAAGCCATTCCCTGTGTGCTGTCCCTCCATACCTTGTCCCCAGTCCCTCTCCAGCTCTCCTGGAGCCCCTTCAGACCCTGCCAGGGGCTGGAAGGTCTCATGGAGCGTTGGAAGGTTTGCCTCCACTCCGGGGCTCTCCCAGATTTGCTCCTTTTCCTCGTTTTTCACCTTTCAGCTGCATTTTCCCTGAGAAGCTGTGGCTTCTTTTTTTTGGAAAAGAGCCCCCTCAGCTCCCCCCTCCTGTCAGGGGGTTGCAGAGCCAGAAGGTCTCCCCTGAGCCTCCTTTGCTCCAGGCTGAGCCCCCCCAGCTCCCTCAGCTGCTCCAGCCCCTTCCCCAGCTCCCTTCCCTTCCCTGGGCTCCCTGGCTGGGTGTCCAGGAGGGGGGTGGTGGCCTCTCCCCCACGTCCCCTCTCCCGTTCCCGCCGCAGAAGTTCCTGCGCCGCCGGAAATATTCCCTGTTCGCCGCCTTCTACTCGGCCACGATGCTGCCGGGCGTGGAGGCCGCCGTGCAGTTCGAGGTCAGCATCGGCAACTACGGCAACAAGTTCGACACCACGTGCCTGCCCCTGGCCTCCACCACCCAGTACAGCAGGGCCGTCTTTGACGGTGAGGCCCCGGCCTCGGGAGGCTCCGATCCCGGCGGGACGTGGGCCTGGGATCCTGGAATGGCTTTGGGATTGGGAGGGACCTTAAAGCTCGTCCGGTTCCGTGGGAAGGGAGACCTTCCACCAGCCCAGGTGGCTCCAAGCCCTGTCCAACCTGGCTTTGGAGGCTCCCAGGGATCCAGGGGCAGCCACAGCTGCTCTGGGAATTCCATCCCAGTCCCTCACCACCCTCCCACGGAAGAATTTCTTCCCAATATCCCACCCAAATCTCCCCTTTTCCAATTTGAAGCCATTCCCTGTGTGCTGTCCCTCCCTGCCTTGTCCCCAGTCCCTCTCCAGCTCTCCTGGAGCCCCTTCAGGCCCTGCCAGGGGCTCTCAGCTCTCCCTGGAGCCTTCTCTTCTCCAGGGGAACCCCCCCAGCTCTCCCAGCCTGGCTCCAGAGCAGAGGGGCTCCAGAACCCTGGAATGGGTTGGGATGGAAGGGACCTTAAATCCCACCCAGTGCCACCCCCTGCCCTGGGCAGGGACACCTCCCATTATCCCAGGTTTCTCCAAGCCCTGTCCAAGCTGGCCTTGGGCACTCCCAGGGCTGGGAAGCAGTGGTTGGATCCAGGTGGTCCTGGATAAGCTGCTGGAGGTGACCCTGCTCGAGCAGGGCTTGGACCAGGGGACTCCCGAGGTTCTTCCCAGCTCAGCCATGGGG